TATAACTCTCTATATTTCATATTTCAATATTTCCTATAATTCTATTTTTCCATCTTATTTTCGCATATACTATTTATCATTATAATATTCCCTATTTCCCAATTTCTACAAAATATCGATTTGTCCATAGTACTTTGCTTATTTTATTTATACTTGTAACTCCTATAAATCTACTTGAAAATAAATCAACCTTTTTTGTTTATATAAATTTTATCATTATTCTGTACATTTGTTCCTAATAAATTATTTAATTATCAAATTTATCTCAAGATATGCTTATTTATTAATTATCCTTCTATTTACAAAACTTATATCTTATAATACCAAATTCGTGTCATAATATTGCATTATTTAAATTATTTACAATGTTTTTGTTGATTAGAGTTACTTCTGAACCTGTATCTAATAATAACTTGTATACTGACATCTTGTATGTACCCTTCAATAAACTTTAAAGTATTAGTGTTATTATTTTTATTTAATTCCCCAGTATCTCTAATAAACTCCCTTGGATGTTCATACTTTGATAAGTAGACAATATTATGCACATAGGAGCGGTCCTAAACAAAATTTCTCCCTTCTACATCAACCACTTGCTTCCCCCCTATTCTCCTCTGTTCTAACTACATTCACCTGTCTTCTCTCCTCATTTTCCCCCCCTATTATATCTTGGATTCCCTTCTCTGTAAACTTCCCTATTTCTCGTCTCCTGTGGATAATTTCCCTGGTTCTGTCTCCAATTATTGCCTCTGTCATTCCCTTGTCTCCAGTTATTCTCTCTATCATTGTTTGGATTCCCTTGTCTACGTTCCCAGTTATATCGTCCGATATCTCTCCTGACATTGTTCAAATTCTCTCCCCTATTTGTAAAATCCCTGCTTCTATTTTGTCTCTCAAATTCTCTTTCCCTATAATTATTCCCTCGATTCACATATCCCTGTCTATTTGCTGTGTTATTCCTATATGTCACTGCTCTTGTCCATTTCGATTCTGCGTCCCTACACTCCTCTCAATCCTCTGAAGATATCCTGTCAAACTTTCCATCGTCTTTATATTGTGGAGAGCTATTGTTTTCTGCCATGTTATGGTTATATTGCCTGGCAATGTATAGGACAATCTCCTCTTCTCGCATAGCCGGTTCTAAATATTGTGCTGTCTGGAATAACTGCATTGCGTACAGATTGTAGTTGGTACTTTTTTCATAATTGAATTTCCCAAAATACAACCGCTCCCTGAAACTAGCCTGTTGGTTTTCTCCCCAAAAATAGTTAATAAACTTGGCCTCAAATTCTGCACATTATTTATGGAATTTTCATTATTGCAAAACCATAATAATGGCATGCCCACTAACATGTTTCGAATATTCAATTTCATTTCTATTGGATCCCTTACATTCTTTACCTTGTTTTTGATGATATCTACAAATATTCTAGGATGTAAGTGATTCAGGTTTCCATCAAACTTTATTCCCCCATCATTATAACTTGGCACCACAGTACTCACTACTCTTGTTTGTCCTAGATTGATTCCAAACGCTGAATCTCCTCACTTGCATTTTTAAATTTCTCTCTCAATTCCTCAACTTGTCCCTGTAATACTCTATCTCCCTTTTCCGCCTGATTTGCATGCATACCCCATTTCCAGTTCCAAATTCTGCAAATCCCTTCTTTATATTATTTTTTAATAATGGTAATTTTTTCCTCATAATCCTGAGTTTGCCTTTTAACACTTTCTACCTCCCTAACAATCTCTTTATTCTGCTTATTAACATTCTTTGTTTATTTCCATTGGTAAATTCTCTTTAATGGCTGTTCCCAACTCTACAAATCTGCTCCCAATTTCCTGTCCTATTTCCGCTCTAATTATGGCCTTTTCTCTGGATATCTCCTCCTGTACATTCCTCTTAAAATTCTCACTTTCTCCTCTGACCTGTTCTACTTTCTCTTCTAAACCTTGGGTAATTTGTAGCATCTCTTCCCTGACTATCTTCACTTCTCTTTTGATTTCTTCCCTCATTTTAATTAACTCTTCCTAAGTTCTCCTTTAATATTATTTTCCATTTTGTTCATATCCCCCCTAATATTGTTAATATTACTATCCATTTTGTGCATATCTCCCCTAATATTATGATCCATCTGTTGTAACATCCGCATTATTTGCCTCATATCCATCTGTGTCATCCCTGACTCTCCAACATCTCCTTCCCTACGTCTCTCCTCCTGCACTCTACATTCATTCACACTTTCATCACGTCTATCTCTCACTGTCTCATCCAACTCCTCTCTCAAACTATCTGTTAGACTTCCCTCTCTATCACCTTGTCCTGCTTCTTGTCTGCCTTGCTCTAAATATTGTACTACAAATTCTCCTGATCCTCCTCTGCTTTCTTCATCTACCTGTAATACCCTGTTCCTGTTTCTAACACCTGTTCTCCTTCACTCTCTTTCGGTACGATTTCTTTTCCATTTCTTAAAGTCATTCGGTCTGCCATTTTATCCTAATCTCTATTTATTCTCAAATTTAACTTTAACTACCCCAGAATCTCTACAACTCTAATCACACCAATTTGTTTTTATTTTAATCTGTGTATTATTAATAAATCTGCTTAAAAATTACACCCTTATTTCTGTTTTCCCAGAGGCCCCACGTTGGGCGCCAATTGTAATAGTTTTGTTTTTATTATTTTTATGTTTTATTGTTAATAAATATAATTTTAATTGAATTGAAGTGAATTTTAAAAGTATGTAGTTCGTTGTTAATATACTATAACCTCGGCTAGCTCAATTATTTGTTCTAAGCAATCTGTCACTGTGTGACGTCAACTCTGTAGTCTCCTGGTAGAGTTCAAAAAGAAATTAAACCAAAATTTACTTTATATTTTTGATAAATTAACCCAAATGAAGCACGTTATTTATTAATATTGAACAAATTTAATATAAACAATAAATTCGTCTGCAACTTGGGTTGCCTTTAAAAAATTTACAAAAAATAGGAATCGTGTAAACCTTAATGTGTCGTGAAAATAGAATTTGATTACAAAATGTGGAAACTCTCTACAATTACCTTAAATCTAAATGACTATTGCAACTTTATAAAGTGTTTAAATGAAATATAAAGAAAAGAAAACTGAACACTTTATGCCGCTGACTTATAACTAGCATTAAAATATAATCAAAATTTCAAATGATCCCCAAAATTATTATCCAAACTCACTTTCAAACAGTTCTGATTTTTTTTTTTAAAGAAAACTAACTACTCGCAAAATAATCGGTGATACTGGAATATCTATCCTCTCTTCGAAGTTAAAGGTACGTACTATTATATTTTTATTTTAATGATCATTAATATTTCAATTTTTAAGGCCTATCGCAATTAGTTAATTCATGAATTTTTACTTTTTCAATCTAAATGACATTTCTGCACTCCAATTATAATTTATAAGTCAAAATTTCTCTTACTCTCTGGAACAAATTCTGGATATCTCTATTTGAAAATGTGGAAAAACTAAATTATAATTAAACGATTTTAAAGCACTCCCGGACTATTCCACCTTTTTTAGGGCTCTTCCTCCAAAATTTTCGTCGCCTCCAACAACCTATTCTTCCTTGTTCACCGCCATCGCTAGCACCAACCACCAAAATTATTCGTTGCTAACAGCAACCCCCACTTTCTTTTTTCATTCCGTCTTCTATTTTATTCAACCATAAAACTGTCCTGTTTTGACATATTTGTCAAACCACATTAATTTCTCATAAGCACTTTAATCACATCTAATTTGGGAATTTAAAAAAAAATTCAGATATAAAACTTAAACAATACTAATATAATTTATTCTTTTCATCTCCACATCATTGTAATTTATTTAACAAAACCCCTATTAATTTAGTTCCCACAGACTTTTGACAGTTTATTTTTCTGACGTTTATTTTTAAAATTTCTATGTTTAAATAATTTTTTAAGAATTCTTCTTTTTTATTCCTTTTAAGGTTTAGACGATTCACCTATACACTAGGCAACTATACTATTCAGAAATTATTAACACTATACCAGGTAAGTCAAAATTAATTTATTTAGCAATTTACTAATCTTTTCTCCCTTTTATTTCAGAGTCGACCCACATTGTGATGGCTTCATGAAATTCATGAACAACAAACTCATATAAAAATCCCTTTAAGTTATATCCTCTTTGACCTATTGAAATCATTTCAATATATATATATATATATTATATATATATATATATATATATATATAATATATATATATATATATATATATATATAATATATATATATATATGTATATATAAGCAGTGATGTTTACATCCACACGGTCGGAAGTATTCTCAGGTACTTCATCAGAATCTGAGGCAGAATTGTCACCAGGTACATAATCAGACTCTAAGGCAGCATAAGGTTCTTCCTCGGATTCATTTTCAGAAATTTTTGAGAGGTTTTCAATTTCTTCTGGAAGCTCTTTTTGTGTTAAAAAAACTTCTACGTGCCATAGTAAGTCTGCAACCAAACAAGAGGGGTGAGATAAATACGAGCCGTATAAACTACTACTGGGACACTACAGTCCCGTTTAGAAATTAGGTAAAATCGATGAAAAAATATCAAAAATAAACAATATATATCACTAACCTGTGCTAATCAGTAACTAAATTATACATAATCGGTTAAACAAACAGAGCAGCCACTTTCTATTTACTAAAATTGTATTATTTACGAGTTGTTGATGCACTTGTTTAGTTAACATCAATTTATAGTTTACAGACGTGATATGTAGGTTGCATACTACTGGGTAATGAGTAAGAAATGTCTAAAAATACAGTTGTGTTCAAATAACATGGGCTTTGAGGACAAACATGCCAGCAGATTTTTTGAAATCCGCTGGGACATATATATCCCCACAGTAATAAAAGGGTTAAGAGCTTTTCAAAAATAATTTTATTTTTCTTTTAACTATATACTTAAATATTATTTTCAAAAAAATATGTTCTGCTATACTCCACTTATTGTCTGATTAAACTGTACTTATTTATTTAGTATTTTGTTTTTTCTAGCCTAAAAAAACGGTTTTTTTTTGCCGAGAGGGACCATTTTGCCCTAATCTTCCCTACAGTAGGAAATGTTTTACTTAAAGGTTTTACCATAAATAACAAACTCTTGTATATAAATTCTTCTTTAAAGGTTTTACCATAAATAACAAACAATAACACATTTCTAATCAACAAATAGCAAGTCTTTAAGAATAAACCAAAATGGTGTCTACTTCACTCCACAATCTTTAATATTTCACAAATGTGCAATCCTTTTTTTACACAAAACTATGAAGTTAATAATATTCTAATTGAGATTTTTCTACAAAACAATTAGGCTGTGGAAATAACTGATATCTTTCGTAAAATCCTTAATTTCACTTTGTCTTGAACTGATGGTCTTTCGGCAACTTTAGGATCACTAAAGTTCCAAGGTTGTAAATCTCCAGAAGCAAATAAAATGTAGAAAACCATAGCAAATAGGTAGATTCCAGATGTCGTGCAGAATACGATATTCCATAAGGTTTTATCATTCTAAAATAAATATGTATATATTAATGGAAATAATTTATTGAATTAGAATAGCATTGTAATGTTATTTTAATGTACAGTTAAATATTATTTAAAAAACTCGAACATTGAAATAAAACACTTCTATTGTAATTGTTATATTTAATTAAAAGTTAAATTTTAAAAATATAAATGACTCAAGTTCAAAAGGTTTTGTGACTTATCAGTCCATATTCAGTGAACTTTGTAGCACTTGCAAAATAACCCCAGAACGAAACAGTAGTTGAGTTTAAATGGATCAAAACAATATTTGAAGGTATTCAATTGTATGGCAGTATGCCGATGCTGTTAGATTGCCAACCGGGAACAAGGCATACTCAACTTAGTTGGCATTAAACTTCCTACTGCCTGAGCAAAAACTCGTTCGAGTAGGAACTTATGTTCCCGTAATATAATTTTTAATTAAATTATACCACTTACAACAGAAGTATTTACTTCAATGTTCGAGTATTTTTTAACTATATGGTAGACAGACAACTTCCAGGAATTATCACAAGTTAAAAAAACATTTCTTTTGTTGAGTTCTGTATTTCTGTTCCTGCCATCGTATCTTCGTATCTCATACTTGATGTTAACTAGTCGGTAGTATCATCATTAAGGTTCTCAAAGGGTGTGTCTTTTCCTTTCTCAGTATATTTCAATTCCAACTTTTCTATACCAACTTTGAATGTGCTCCCATTTTTCACTCACTTTTGCATTTAAAATGATATTATATATATATATATATATATATATATATATATATATATATATATATATATATATATATATATATGTATATGTATATATAAGATGGAAGCAACCGTATATACGTATTTCTGACTATTGGTCGTCTTCAGTACGGTGCAGCCAAATTAGAAAAAGAGCAGATTAACTTGAGAAACGATCACTACAGGAGCAATACGACCAATTTGTGGTAATAATGTTAGAAGACTCTGAGGTTTCCACAAATTGCTCGCATTGCTCCTTGTAGTGATTCGATTCAAAACATCGAATTGTTAAACCATCCATCGTCCCCTTTTTCAAAAAAATATAATTTTTTTTTTAATGCTTCTAATAAATAAAAATGAATATTTTCAAAATCTACGTGATTTTTGAGTATAGTCATGCAAAGAGAGAAAACAATTTGTTATATTTTAAATTCAAATTTGAAGCAGTTATACGAGGTTTCATTTTTATATTTTTTAGTTTTGCATATAGCGGGTTAGAGGTTGACACCAATAAAGCCTCCCGACACAAGTGTAACCTCAATCTTTTGTTGATATAAATCGAGAGTTTCGAGATTTGCGATACAAGTCGTATAAATACAGTGAATTTTTGAAGCAAGTCAGTCGAAAAAAGGGTCTTCGCTGAGAACATCTTTGAGCAATATTTTTTTACAATTTTCGGAGAAGATTATCACAACAACTATAGCTCACTGAAATGGTTTCTGTATTTGGGAATCACACCAGTCAATTATTTCCCGCTAGTATTACAAATTTCAACGTAGTCGCTACAGTGTCACCGACGAATCCAGGCCAAGTCCACCCAAAACAGCAGTCAAATAGTAAAACATTACGATTTGTCAGTTAATTAAGAATGACCGCCGTGTAACATACTGAAAGATAGAGGCATTTTTGAGCAATACAAAGACCTCGATCCAAAAGGTCCTACATGAAGAACTGGGTGTTACAAAGTTACTTTCCCGTTGGATCCCTCATTTGCTCACAGAAGAGCAAACAGCGGTTCGCGTCAAATTCTGTCGAAAAACATCGAACAGTTCAACAAAAAAAAAACATTTATACAGCAAACGCCTGTATGGATGTTTTATGATGAGAAAATACCAACAAAAGTGATCCGTTCTTGAATTATGTCAAATAAAATGGTCGCAACTTTTGTGTCAAGATTTGTTCATGGCATTACATATCATAGTTTTCGTACTAAATTGTTAGTAATTAAAAAACATTGTCAATATTTCTGCAGAAAATATATACTTTTGTTGGACTATATATAATTCTCTTCACCATCTCATTTTAAAGATACTATAATAATTTCCAAAAAATTGACGAAAACGGTTAGATTTCTAGTGCCTCCGTTTAAAAAAATATATGTGCAAAAAACTGGAAGCATTTGAGATGAGGCTTTATTGGAGAATACTTAAGATTCCATGGATTGACCAAGTCACAAATGAGGAGGTCCTCAGAAGAATGAACAAAAACCGAGAGGTACTGACCACCATTAAATCTCGAAAGTTACAATTCTTCGGACATATTATGCGAAATGAATGCGAGCGAGGTCCAGGAAGAAGAAAAACATCTGATTAAAGAATCTCAGAATCTGGTTCAATACAACATATGTGCAGCTTTTCCGCGCTGCTGTAGATAAGATAAAGATTGCCATGATGATCGCCAACATTCTTAACGGATAGGCACATCAAGAAGAAGAAGAAGTCTTTACTCTTTCAGCAAGTATTTACTCGATGAAGGGGGTAATTTCTGAGTATCCAACAGAAATAGCTTGAAATAATAAAGAAAGAAATAAAAGCATCTTTTAAGCAATTGATTTTTTGAAAATTCTACTGTGACTTTACTCTTTAAAAACAACCTCAAATTAAAAAGCTTAACATAAGACGAGAAGGCATATGAAACTCAGAAACGAGACCATTGATAACCCAAAATAGAAGAAATAATATGTCGCATAGTAAAAGTCGCATATCTACAGATTATATATATATATATATATATATATATATATATATATATATATATATATATAATATATATATATATATATGTATATATATATATATATATATATGTATATATATATATATATATATATATATATATATATATATAATATATATATATATATATATATCGGAAAAAGGAGTACGACCGTCAATCCAATATATATATATAAGGATCACTCAGACGAGTGGTGGGTTCTTATATCGGTCTCTAGGTGGAGAAATAAAAGACAAAGTTGATAGGCTACTTTATCTATTTTGAAGACGTTTCGCTTTCGAGTTTTGAAAGCATCATCAGTTCATCTAAAAAATTATTACAATATGAGAACCACACAATCATGGAAACGATGTTAATTGTTACCTTAAAAAGATATGTAGCAGTCAATGTTATTAACAAACATGTGAATGAAACTAAGTAAATGGACATAATACGCTGATCTTGTATAAACAGTTAAGCAACTAACAACATATATGAACTTGTAAAAAATTAGCACAGCAAATGACCATGTGGTCTAAAGTAAATTCTATGTTATTTTATGTTAATAAGTGAGTAAGAACCAAGAAAATCATAAATAACTTCCAACTATTTAATGGATATTAAGCTTTGATTTTAACTTTAGGTAGCATTATAAGTGATATTAATAAAATCTTAAAAAATAGTAAATATGAAGTTACCGATCAAAGCCCTATGAATGTCGCCGGGAAAATGGCGTTTAATGAAACAGGAACGAACTAAACCGCAAAAAGACAGCCAACCTTGAGGTCAAAATTACTTTTGACAGATCAACAAGGTGTAAATACCAACCCAAATTTTGGGCGGTTAATTTAAGTTTAACTGAGTTTGGATGAATACCCGGTTGCAAAGGACAACACAGTGAAAAAAGTTGGTAGTGTAAACACAACTCCCCTCACTAATCAGCCCAAATTTACAAACAGGAGATTTTCATTCAACCTCATAAGTATGTAATGACGTTAATCATTATGGCTAGTTAAACAGCCAGGAGGTTAACGATTTTATAATTTCCAAACAGCCCAAGGTTCAATATACTTGGAGCTGTGATTTGCAAAGGATTCTATGAATCAATTACAATATTTGTATTATTTTAATATAAAATTTGAAACACTAATTCAAGTAATTAGCGTATTGAAATGCAATGTGGGTTGCATATGTAATAGTAATTTTAAGTAAAGATATTAAGTTATTTTATTGATATATTTATTTATTTTATTTCTATTTATGTATATAAATTGTTTTATGAAAAATGGAAAAAAAAGTTCAACTAGTACACCTAATATGACATTAACGTAGTGAAAAGATTAAGTAGCCTAATTCTGCAAAATTAAAGCATGATATATTTGGCTCAAGTTACTTATGTCAGTTCTCTTATTCAATGCATTAGGGTGTTTTAATATTGAACACATTTCCAAAAACTGTCTTTTAGCTAGATTGCGTTCAGTGGCAAGGATCTTAACTTCATTAAAATCCACTTCATGTTTAGTATTTATCGCATGTTGTGCTAGGGCACAAGTGTGTTTCGATAAATTAATGTCGCTACGATGTGAAGTGAGACGACCTTTTAATGATCTACCAGATTGACCAATGTAACATAAATCGCAATTAGCGCATGGAATTTTATAAATTGTGTTAACTTGTTCCAAAGTGGACAAGGGTGTTTTAGTTTTAGAGAACAAATTTCTAACAGTTTTTGCATTCTTAACAGCAATTTTAACAGGTATATTATTTTGTTTATACAATTTAATAAGTTTCTCAGTAACTTGAGGGAAATAAGGTAAGGAAGAGTAATGTGTGATAGTATTCTCAAGAACGGTATTATGCAGAACAGTGCTATTTATAGAATTATTAGAGATGTTTCTAAGTTGGTCACCATCGGGTATGTCATAAATTGAGGATCCATAACTATGCGAATAAAGGTATTATTGATGATAGAGGAAGGATATGAATATCTCTATTAGAATATTTCTCAATAACTTAAAGGATTCCCTTCGATTAATTGACGTCAATTCCTTACCTTATTTCCCTCAAGTTACTGAGAAACTTATTAAATTGTACAAACAAAATAATATACCTGTTAAAATTGCTGTTAAGAATGCAAAAACTGTTAGAAATTTGTTCTCTAAAACTAAAACACCCTTGTCCACTTTGGAACAAGTTAACACAATTTATAAAATTCCATGCGCTAATTGCGATTTATGTTACATTGGTCAATCTGGCAGA